ATGGGGAGAAGAGGAGGCAGAAACAACCTGTAGATTATTTAACAAGATCAGTGCAGGCATTATTATGAACAGGAAATCATAACTAAAACTCCTGAATCAGCTAAGAGGTCAACTGAACTGGACACTTGGGCAATGTGGATTATAAAAGCACACTCAACCCGGAGCAACCAATTTCACTGTTGTGGTCACAGTATTTTTCCTCAATTGTTTTTTTTTTTCAACTACGTAGGCATGACTGGCCTGGAACACTTTATGTAACCCAGGATGGCCTCCAGCTCACAAAGATCCACCTGCCTCTGCCTCCCCAGTACAGGGATGAAAGGTGTGTGCTACTATACACAGTTGACTTTGAATTTTTGATCTTCTTGCCTCTGTCTTCCAAGGGGCTAAAAGGCATGCACCACCATGCCAGGTTTTAGCTTGGTAGTGAGTGTGTGTGTGTGTTTGTACTGTATGTGTTCCTCTGCGTGTGTGTGTGGTGTGTGTGTGTGTGTGTGTGTGTGTGTATATGTTTCTGACTGTAGAAGCCAGAGGTCAATCAATGTCAGATGTCTTCCTCAATTGCTCTTGCTTTATTTTCATTTATAGTCACTGATTACAGTGTTTGTTATCTTGGTTGGAGTGATGAAAGTTGAGGTGTCCACACTGCAGATTTTCATTTGTTCCTCTAGTAAAACTCAAAGCCTAAGAGTTATTTTCCATTGCTGAAATGGTCATCTGTCTCTATGCACTGTTAAGAAAAATTTAAGTGATTTCTGAAGGTAATTACATTTGTTTCTACCCTATTACCATGTAGGACACAACTCTAACTCTACCCTTCATGCATCCCTTCACATGAACCTAACTACCCAGAGTGATGGGCAATGTGATGGTTAATGCTGTCAATTTGACAGGGTTTAGAATTACCTGTGAGCAGAAGCCCCTGGGCATGTCTGTGAGGGATTGTTTAGATTACATTAACAGGTGGGAAAAGACCCACTCTAAACATGAGCGACACCATTCCATCACCTGAAGTCCTGAATTAAATAAAAAGAAAGCACAAGCAAGCATCTCTCTGCTTCCTGACTGTGGATGCAGTGTGACCAACTACCTCCTCAACTCCTGCCACCTTGACTTCCCTCCATGATGGATGGTACCCAAAATAAACCAACCTTCCTTCTTTCACTGGCTTTTTTTTTGGTTGGTTTGTTTGTTTGAGACAGGGTCTCCCCGTAGCCCCAGCTGACCTGGAACTTGCTATGTAGACTAGGCTGGTCTCGAACTCACAGAGATCTGTCTGCCTCTGCCTCCCGGGTGCTGGGGTTACAGGTGTGCACTACTATGCCCGGCTTCTTTCAATGGCTTTTAAAAAATAGTTTATTATTTTTATATGTATGAGTTTATTGCCTACATGTATATAAGTGCACCCATGCTGTGCAATGCCCAGAGAGGTCAGAAGAGGGCAGTGGATCCCCTGGTACTAGAGTTACAGATAGTTAGCTGCCATGTAGGTGCTGCGACCTGAACCCAGGTTCTCTGCAAGAACAGCCAGTACTCTTAACTGCTGAGCCATCTCTCCAGTGCCCCCTTTTACTGGCTTTTGTCAGATATTTTAACACAGCAATAAGAAAAGTAACTAATATAGGTAATATGGCTCAAGTAATAAAAACCCACCAAGTCAATTTTAGCATTGACAACATACTTGCCATCCAGTCCTAAAGGTCAGATGGATGCCACAGTGCACACGAGTCACCATCCTCATGGAAGTCAGCATCACACAGGCTCTCCAAGGAAGGGGACACTTCACAATTTCTAATAACTAACTTCTCCCCAAATACTGACATCTTCCAAAGGAGAAACCAACGACTGAAAGAACAGTATTTGCTATTCTTACTATAACCTCCATTTCTCACTCACTTCTGATCTTGCAGATATTTATTTTCATATGACTAAATACCAATATGGAGGCAAACTAATTTACCCACAGTAATGCATGAGTCAAATGGGGAGGTAGCAACTGAATTGAGATTTCTCAACCCAGGCTGCTACTGAACACTCTCTCTCAGGGGCCTTTCATTTCTAAATACCAATAAAGACTTGGCAGGGAAAGAAAGCAAGCCTCCACGGACTTCCGCCTCTAAGCCCAGAGGGAGCCCCACATAAAAGCAAAAGATCTTGTAACAGGGAAGGGTAGGGAAGGCAGAAGGGATAACCAGGAGGCCACAGAAGAGGAGGAAGGAGATTTATTGCGGTTTTACCCAAGGACCCCTGGGTTTTCTAAATCGCTAAACTGCTTTTAGAAAAGCTTGAGCCTAAACATCTGCTGTTATGTGGGGGAGGGGGCAGCTTGAGGGCTGCTATATTGTTTTTAGGGTTCCAATTTCAGAAAGGAATTCTGAGCTCCTGAGCTCCCTCACTTCTTTGTTTTTTTAAAGCATTTTATTTCTTTTTATTTGGCTTTACTCTGAGTGCTTGGGTACCTGGCATCTTTTGATTTTTTTAAATGGGGGGGGGGGCAACGACAACTAGAAAACTAAACAGATGAGGGCACAGAAGGCCAGCCCCCACAATGGCTTCTTTAGCTCCCTCTTCTCCTTCCCTTCTCCCTCCCTCTCTCGCTTCCTTTTTCCTGGAGTGAAGAGGATTAAACTCAGCCCTTCTTGCAAACATTCCCTAACCAAGCCCTCACTACTCCAGCCCTCTAGCTGCCTTCATTTAGCCACTGTCACAAACAGCCTCCCAGGGTCTGCTGGTTCTTCACTTGTTTTCTTTCCTTTTATCATAAACCTATCAGCTATGAATGTTTATAACGTCAGCTTCCCTAAGAACAAAAACACAAAGTGATTTGAGTTCTAGAAAACACATTTCTGAATAAAGCAGGGAAGGCGACTTAAAGGAAAGTCCTATTTAATAAGAACTCAAAAAAAGATTTTTTTTCAGTTTTTTATTTATGTATATAAGTGTCTATGTATACTCCGTGTATGTATGTATGTGCCCTCATATGCCCAAGGAGGCCAGAGTAGGGTGTCAAGATTCCCTGGAGCTGGAGTTATAGGTGGTTGTAAGCTGCCTGATGTGGGTACTAAAAACTGAACTTGGGTCCTCTGCAAAAGCAGCAAGCTCTCTTAACTGCTGAGCCATCTCTCTAGCCTCTTGGATCCCCTGACTCCTAACCTGACTTCCAAAATGTAGGGAAAAACAACCTATTAAGAAATAAAAAGCTTGGGTAGCTCACAGAAGGAAAGATTTCCTAGGGCTTGCAGTTCAAAGGGTAGTTCCCTTGACCAGCAGCATGGGGGTAGGGGCACTTGCTAGAGATAAGACTCTCAAACTCCAGCTCAGAAGCGCCAACAAAAAGCTGCATTATGACAAGCTCCTCACATGGTGACTCAGCTCAGCTGGGTCTGTGTCCCCTGCTGGGGGCATTGCCTACCTTCCTTCATCAGACCTAGAATTAATTTCAGGAAAATTATTTCCTAAATAAAAAGCACTATAAAGGCCTCAGATATAAACCTTAATGAAATCAAATGGCATTTGGAGTTAAAACACCTCACTATTTTTTTAATGTACTTATTTCTAAGAAATAAATTATACAAAAGGCACCATTTGTATAAAGGTCTAGTTGACAGCAAAGAGAATTCTTAATAAATACTTAAAATCAGAATTGATGTTGTATATTTACATGGCACTTTATTTGGAAAACCTGGTGCTTAGCCCCTTGGAGAAGCACCCCATGCTAACATAACCATCAGAACTTTAAAATGTGCTGAGGTCATGCTGAAGAACCACATTTAACTAAAATTCTGTTCTCTGCTAATACAAACTATTTATGCCCTTATTAGTTTCTTACTGTATTACCAGATGTTTACTGTCAAAGGGACCTATCTCCAGCAGTCTTTTCTTACAGAAGGGCTGGAAATAGATAGGGTACCCACAGTGAAATGGAGGCTCCAAGAACAGGTACAATATCTACTAAAGAAAAAGGTGCCAGGCGTGGTGGCACACGCCTTTAATCCCAGCACTCGGAGGCAGAGGCAGGCAGATCTTTGTGAGTTCGAGGCCAGCCTGGTCTACATAGGGAGTTCCAGGCCAGCTGGAGCTACAAGGAGACCCTGTCTCAAAAAAAAAAAAAAAAAAAAAAAAGAAAAAGAAAAAGAAAAAAAAAAAAGAGAGAGAGAGAGAAAGGTACAAAGGCTACATATTTTGGTTCCCCATTTGTATACCAGTCCTGGATGGCTCCTGTAGTTGGATACAGATGAACACACCTGTACTTAAGAACTTCATGAGAGTACACCCACTAACTATGTGATTTCTTATTCTGGAGCTCAACCTTTGCATATAATTTGAAAACAATTCGCCAGGAAAAAATATATACAAAACAGTCTGGATGAATTCATTTTTACTGAAATGACGTAATGACCTTAAGACATCATGGAACAGCCAGGTATGATGGCACATGCCTTTAATCCCAGCACTTGGGAGGCAGAGGCAGGTAGACCTCTGTGAGTTTGAGGCCAGCCTGTTCTACATAGCAAGTTCCAGGCCATCTGGGGCTACAAGGAGACCCTGTCTCAAAAAGACCAAAAATAAATAAATAAATAAATAAAATATATCATGTGACAACTGACCACTTTTTGCCGTGTGGAGACTGATGATCAGCATACTACCTCGGTGAACTGAAACAAAGTCACATCTTAATAACCATGGACAAGTCTGTTATCCTAGGTCTTGACATCTGTCACTCTCTTGAGGATGTCACAGCTGGTTATCTACCGACCAAAGTTTTCTTATCACTGCTTTCTTCCTTAGAATGGTTCCTGAGGTTACAGCAGAATACACAGATACGTGAACTGCTGAGAGCGTCCCAGGCAAGCACCTCTAGATTTTAAATCACACAGGTGATCATTGCAAAGTGATGTAAAGAGCATGCAGCTAGGGAGAAAAAAATGCGCAGGAAAAATGTCTACAAAGGACCACACACACGTTAGACAAGAATGACCACAGTAAAGGAAACCACTCACGTGAGGGGAATAGCATTGGCTTTGGATTGTCTCCGACTTTTCAAGGCCCGAAGTCTATCTCCTTGTGTCACGCCATTGATTTCGTCGTCATCACTGTACTGTATGAGTGAAAAAAACACTGAGCTAATGATTCACATTGCATCTGCTAATGCAGCAGCAAAGAGGGTCTTTATCCAGATACATGTGTGTGTGTACACGCGCGCGTGCGCACACACACACAGGCATGCATACTTGCAAACACATACACTTAAGCATTCTTCTGAACACTATATTTCAAAATCAAGCTACCAGTCACATTTAAAGACATCCAAGCCTGACTTGCAGGGGCACAGGACCTGATAGCCCTCTCTTCATAAAACAGATGAAAAAGAGATGCAGTGGGGTTTTTATTTTAAAACTTCTTAAAACTTCATCATTCATTCACCACCACTTAATTTAGCACTGTGGCCTGATAAAACCATGTCTCTAAAAGCTCTTCCTTTGAGAACCATTAACACACCTGTGAGGCAATGAGGACAGGAGGAACGGAGACACGGAGTAAAGAAACCCATCTGAAGAGCTTATTTCCAACTGCTAATTTCCACCTTGCTTAAGGGAGCAAGAAATTTAGTTATATGGGCACACAACTTTACTTTCAGTCAAGTTTATATATCTTCTTTAATCCCAGCACTCAGGAGTCAGAACCAAGTAGATCCCTATGAGATCGAGGTCTACATAGCAAGTTCTAGACCAGCTAGGGTTACAGGGAGACCCTGTCTCAAAAAAAAAAAAAAAAAAAAAGTCACCTCAAAGAGGCCTTCCATCTAAAAAAAAAACCAAACCAAAAAACAAACCAACCCCCCCAATCAAATGTGCTTTATTATTTTACCTATTGTTTCTCCATGCCCTACAAGGATCTCAACAGCATTTACAGCAATAAAAACAGCATGATTGGGGTAGTTCCATTACCGGCTCAGGTTCTTGCTTGTCTTGATTCTCGACCCCATTTATTGAAATGTCATCAACACCAGAGAGAAGTCTAGATAAGGCTGCTCTGTGGGGTCCATTCTCCTGCCCTTTCAACCTTTGACGGTAATAGTCGCCTTCCAGCCAGAGGCTCGATTGTTTCCTAGAGCATTTATAAAACATCAAAATACAGCTTTCCAGAAATACACATATTTTCCCTACCAAACTGTCTGCTGTTACAGTTGACAAGCTTTAGGTATACTCACATGACCAGAAACTGCTGCTGAGGCCCAATCACCGAGCCGGGCCTACAGATTCTGAGCCAGGCAATGGTCTCTGCTGCTGTCATCCTGTAATGCTTCATGAGGTAGCAGCCTATCAGAGTGCCTGTTCGACCAAGGCCAGCTAGGAAAATAAAACAACTGATAAAACCTGACCTCACAAATGCCAGAACTTTCTTAACATGAAGAAACAATCCTTTAAAGCCGTCCCACAGGTCTGCCTCCCTCCACAATGGTTCTTGAGCTCGGTCTGAAGAGGTTTAAAAAGGCCAGTGCCTAGTGTCACCCCCAGGATCTAAGTGATGAGTAGCCCAGTCTAGCAGGGCCTGGACACATGACCTTCTAAAATCCCCCAGAGGCTTCGATGTGGAGCCAAGTCCAACCATATTTTCTACCCAACTTTTGTACCTGTACACATTCAGCTTTGGGGGAGGGGTGCTGGGGACAGGCTGGACAAGCACTCTGTCACTGAACTATACCCTCAACCTCATTTTTCCTTTTTTAAATTTTAACTCTTCTTTGTTTGGGGGTTGGTTGTGGGGGTGGGACTGTGTGTGTGTGCGCGCACGCATGTGCAGGCACACACACACACGTGACCACATGTAGAGGCCCCAGGTTGATGTCTAGGAGTCTTCCAATTGTTCTCTACCTTATTCATTGAGGCAGGGTCTCTCAATTGAACCCAGAGCTCATCCATATAGCTAGTTTGGCTAGCCAGCTTGCTCTAGGGATTCCCATCTCCTCCTTCTCAGATTTAAATTACAGGTGGGCTACAATAGCCATAGTATGTATGTGGGTTCTGGGGATCTGAACTCCAGTCCTCACATTTGTGTGACAAGTACTTTAACTGCTGAGTCTCCTCCCCAGCCCTCTTCTTTCCTCTTATCAAAATCATTATTATTAACTCTGACAATAGTTAACATGTTGAGTAAATGTGGAAGGAATCTTTGGTTAGGTTTAGCATTTCAACCTATGCATTTAGCCTCCATAATGTGGCCAGTCCTCTTCCAATCAGCTGAAAGCCTGAACAGAACAAAAAGACTAGGCTCTCAGCCAGAGCAGAGTGCTGCAGACTGCTTTCACGCTCCATCCCCACCAGTCTCTTCACACCTCCAGGAGGCTCACAGCACAGAAGATGGACTCAACAACTCCACAATTCTTTTTAGTAAATTGTTCATCTATATATACAGCCTATTGCTTTCGCTTCTCTAAAGGACCCTCTGTAACACACATGTGAATTAGAAGTGGGGTGCTGCTGAAACAAATACAGAAAACTGTGGAAGTAGCTTTGGAACAGGAATGGTTCAGAGAGCACTGAGGCAGCTGAGGAGAAGCCCAGGCTGCTGTGCAATAACTTGCTAGACACATGGATGTTAAGGACCATCCTGGAGCAATTAGGATGAAAAGTTTCAGTCATTCACCACTAAGTGTGATGGTGGCTCTGGGCTTTTTATATAGGGTTTATGCTGAGGTAGTCTCCTTCCGGTCCTCCTTTGAGTGTTTTTATCAGAAAAGGGTACTGAATTTTGTCAAATGCCATTTTGTCAAATGCCAATAGAGATGATTATGTGGGTTTTGTGTTTCACTCTGTTACCATGGAGATTTACATTGACTTTTCTATGTTGAATCACCCCTGTAATCCCAGGATAAATACCACTTTGTTGAAGTGTATAGTATGTTACTGTATTGTATTGTTTTAGGCAGGGTTTCCTTTAGCCCAGACTAGCCTCAACCTCACTAAGTGGATGAAGATAACCTTGAACTTCTGATCCTCCTGCCTCCATCTTCCCAGCGCTAGGATTACATGCTTACACTACCACGCCCAATTTATGCAGTGTTGGGGATTAAACTCAGGACTTCATACATGCTAAGCAAGCTCTCTACCAACTGAGCCCCAGCCCCTATAATCCTTTCACTATGTTACTAAGTTTACCTGGAAGGCATTTTGTCCAGGATTTTCACAATGTTCCTAAAGGATATTGGTCTGCTGTAGTTTCTTTGCTTATCTTAGGAAGCAAGGTAATCATGACTTTATATAATGACTTAGCAAGTCTTCCTTGTCTTCAGTTGTTAGTAAGTCTAAGGATTGGTGTGCACCCCAATGAGGCATCAGCTCCAGAGCTTTCCTTTATCAGGACAGTCTTCATTACCAAGTCAACCATTTCTATCTATTTATTGCACAGTGATTCTGTGTTGGTAGGTTTTGTGTTTCCAGGAAATTTGTCCATTTTATTTGGATTAGCTGACTTTAAAAATATATATATTTATTGTTTTTATTTTATGTGTAGGTGTGCACTGCCTGCATTATGTAAGTGCACCTGTGTCATGCAATGCCTGCAGAAGTCAGAAAAAGGCATCAGATCCCCTGGACCTGGAGTTTCAGATGGTTGTTAGTCACCATGTGGGTGCTGGGAACCAAACCCAGGTCCTCTACAAGCGTAGCCAGTGCTCTTAACTGCTAAGACATTTCTCCTTAGATTATCAGATTTTTTTTTATTCTACAATTGTTCACAGTAATCTCTCTCTCTCCTCTCTCTCTCTCTCTCTCTCTCTCTCTCTTTCTCTCTCTCCCCCCACCCCCGCCCGCTCTATCACTGTCTACCTTATTTCCTTGAAACAGGGTCTCTCAATGAACCCTTAGCTTGCTTTTGGCTAGGCCCAGTAATCTTCCTGTCTGTCCCCCTCTCCTCCCACCCCAACAACTCCAGTGCAGAGGTTACAGACACATACAGCCATGCCTGGCATTTTTACATGGGGATTCAAGTTCAGTCCTCTTATCCCCTGAGCTATCTTCCCCAGCCCAATTCTTTTATTTCTATAGAGCCATTTCTGAGGCTTTTCTCTTCACCAGTCTAACTGAAGTTTGTGAATTTTGTTACTCATTCTAAAGAACAAATCCTGGGCTTTGTTGACTTTTGTATTGGTTTTCTACTTTTCACATCTGATATAGTATTTATATTACAATATTTATAAACAATAATGGCAATATTTTAGAAGTGATAACACTAGTCTTTATAACTGGCTATGCGTGCATTTACCTTTACTAGATACATGCTTCTTCACATATCTTTGAGTGAGCATCTGGACATTCTACTGACAGACACCCTGAGCATATCTTAGAGTCCCCTGGCACCTGACAGCTGGGAGTGGCTGAATTTCTCCCTAGTTTTGAAGGAATTTTTACCAGGCTTTAGGATTCTTTGCTTCAGGGTTTTCCCTCAGTGCTCTGGCCTCCAAAGTTTCTGATGAGAAATCTGCCAGTAGCAGGAGTGTTTCCTTTGCATGTGACGTCATTTCTCTCTTGCTGCTGTCAACATGTCTCTGGCTTTAGACAGTAAAGTGTCTTCAGTGAGTTTCTGAGATTGTTCTTTCTGGAGTTTGTTGAGTTTCAAGACTGTTTATGTTCAGGTCTCTTTCATCAAAGTGGGAAACTTTTCCAGGCAAATAGCTCCTTCTTTTCTCCCCTCCTTCTGGAACTCCAAGTGTGCACATCTGCTCCACTTGGCTGAACCCCAAGCGCTGCTACATTTTGTTTCCTTCTCTTCACTCCTCATCCCTGCGTTCCTCAGACTTGATGACCTTGTTAACACTCTTGTTCTTATCTTAATTACCACTTCTTCTTCCTGTCTGTTCAAATCTGCTTTGGAATTGCTCCAGTAAATTGTTCAAGTCATTTCCAGAATTGCTTTTTGGTTTCGTTTTACGTTTTTTTGATTTTTAATTGACATTCCATTTTGTTTATTTTCTTTTCACTGTGAGCACCCTAAGACAGCTATTTTTAAATCTTCTGCCTACAAAGCCCACTATCTGGTCTTTGTCAGGAATAGTTCTTGATTGATTTCTTCTTTCTTTTTGAATAGGCCACACACTTTTCTGGCCTTTTATTTTTCCTTTTTTATGCCTTGTGATTTTCCATTGCAAACTGAATATTTGAACATTATGATTGTGGCTATATCCATAACTACAAATATAGTCTTAACTCCAGAAATCAATTTGATAGTTTTCTTTCCCTCCTGATGTTGGATTAATAATTATGTCTCCCCCCATCTTCTTAATTAACTATCTTATATTAAAGGTAAATAAATCCTAGTATATTCACACAATACGTTATTACAGTAATTCATTCACTCATGGAACATCTAGCAACAGGTACAGTTATAACGGCTGGAAGCATTGTTAGAATTTGGTCTCTATCGGGCAAGTGGCAGTAAGTCTTTCCTCTATCACTGATGATCCTAGAACCTACCACACTGTAGGTGCACAACAGACAAACATGCATTCCAAAGCAATAACTTTGTTGGCTTACTTATCAAAGAGTTTAATATATTTTACATATGATTTTAGAGTTTCAAAATCATTCTTTCAGGCCAGTGAGATGATGACTCAGTGGGTAAAGGCACTTGCTGCCAACCTAATGACCTGAGTTCAGCTCTGGAATTCACATGGTAGAAGGAGAGACTGATTCCAGCAAGTTGTCCTTTGAACACCACATGTGCATATTTGCACATGTGCACATATGCTAAATAAATAAACAATGTAATAAATTAAAATCCTTCTTTCAAGAATGAAGGCTGTGTCACTCGTGTGTGTTCTGCCACAGAACATAAATGGATGGGTACACTTCTACACATACATTCATAAACGTATGTATATCACCCTCTAACCTAGACACACACCTTTGCAATGTACTGCAATGGCACCCTCAGCATTTTCACAAATATCCAGAAACTCTTTGACAATGGCTTCAGCAGGGGTGCTGCCATCCGGAAAGAAAAGGTCATAGTGATGGAAACCAGCATCTGTAAAGCGCTTCGCATCATACATCCTCTTATTCAGACGGATAATGGTAGTTACATTGTGATTTTTAAAATACGGAATATAGGTCTCAGGAGAATGTTGGTAGTAACCTACATAAAGAAATATACAGGTATTATAAAAGGCAGATGGAAAACAGCTTCACTTATAACTGGATGGAGACTGAATATCAATTTGATTATAACTGTAAAAACAAAAGTTAAAAACATTAAAACCCAGGGAGAACAATGTATTCAAATGACCAAGTATGCTTAAATCATAAAGACTAAGTTACACATAGTCTAATTCTTTGGTCTCTTTCCAACCTGGGCTGGTTCACCTCTCCCTAGGCATCCTGGAAATCTTCTGCTTCCAGGAGGCTACCATAGGAATGCTGAGCCAATCACAGACCTCCAATTAGCACAGTGCACCACAACCCAGAACTCCAGACTCAACTGTCCCTCAGCCTCACATGTAGCAGGGATTACAGGAATACACTACTGCACCTGCACCCAGTGGTCTTTTTCCAAAGCTATACTAGTTTGATAGTTTTGCATACCACTTTCAAGTCTGGATCTTGAATGAGGTCCACAGAAGGCAAGAAATCGGTTTGGTATTATCCAGTTGAAATCTCCATTTTCTGCTTTCTGCAAAAAAAAAAAAAAAAAGACCAGCACAAGTCACCTTTGAACCGAATATCCTCCCACCTCCCTGCTCAATACTGGGCTTCTCAAAGGGTTCAACATCATTTACTTTAGCATGTCAGCTGTATATTAATGACCAGGAAACAAGTCTAAAGTTTGCCTGCTTTGAATAGCCCCAAGAATGGCCAACTTCCCCTTCTGTCAATCACCCTTTTTCAGTGTTTCTTTGCTTGGGTCACCAACCCTTGAAAACATGCTATGTTCTTGGTTATTATATCTCAACTACTTTGGCTATCTGAATAAATCTCATTCCAGGAAGCTAATTCTTATTAATACAGCACACTTTCTCTAAGTAGGAGGGTTCTGCAAGGCCTCCATTGTCCTTAATAGACAAAGTCATTTCCAATGTGAACAATTTTGACTCGAGTAAAAAGAGGAAGAGTCAGGTAAAATATACTTTTCCATAATAAGAGGGCAAATCTAAAAGCCAAACTTCGTGCTGTGTATGTATATGCACGTGTCTGTGAGTGCATGTGAACATGTGTGCAGAGGCCAGGGGACAACTGTCGCTGTCATTCTCCAGGTGCTGCCCGCTTTCTTCTTTCCTTCTTTTTGAGACTGGGTTTCTCACTAACCCTGAATACTCGAAGGAGGCTAGACTTGTTGGTCAGTGAGCCCCAGAGATAAGCCTTCTTCCCTGCTTAAGACTGGAATTACAAGCACAGTCTACCACAGCTAGTTCTTATGTGGGTTCTGGGGATCAAGCTTCGGTCCTCATACTTTCCTACTGACTGAGCTATCTCTCAGTTCCCAGATAAAAAATATTAAGCAGAAAATTAAAAAACAACAAGTATACTGAAATCACAGCATACCTGTATGAAACTCTAAGTATCACTGGCATCTAAAACATGTTATGTCTTGTTATGTTATTAAGTCTTTTGAACTGAGTTACCATTACAGTAACTATAATGGAAATGTACTGTCAATTTAATAGTAATTATGGTGGTTTCAATGAAGTGTCTTCCATAGGATCAAATATCTGAACACTAGGTCAGTTGGTGGTGCTGTGTGGGGATGTTCAGGAGGGACTCCCTTGCCGGAGGAAGCACATCAGTGGGGGTGGGCTTTCAGAGTTCATAGCCACGTTCCATCTCCAGTTTCTCTCTCTCTGCTGCTTGTGCCTGTTTGAAGATGTGAGCTCTCAGCTTTCTGCTCTGGCCACCTCTGCCACCATGCCTTCCCACCATGATGGACTCTTATCCCTCTAGAACCATAAGCCAAATAAGTTGCTTTGGTCACGATGCTTTATCTCAGCAACGGAAAGTAACTAATACAGTAAAAGAAACACATTAATGAAATGTGTAACACAGACTTGTTTTTTTGAGTCTTGCATGCTTTATTCACTAATCATCAGTCAGTTACTTTGAAATGATTTAATATTGTATGATGTGATTCACAAATTTTGAAGTATTATAGCCAAAATATAAGCATTCTTTTAACATTGTTATCACAATGCTATTATGAAATCTAAAACTTTGTAACTCATTTTTGGGTATTATTTGTTTTTGTACCTACAAGTTTGCCTATTTTCTGTTTTCTATAGTTTGGTTGTAGCAAATTCAAATAGGGTCAGTGATTGTAATTAGGTGATGAATGTATTTCTCATTTCTTTCTGAAAATTAATTTTAAAAATTGATGCATAATAATTACATATTCTGTGTTGTATTATTTTGATACATGTATACAATATATGATTATCAAATTAGGTTAATTATCACATTACCTCAAATATTAATAATTTCATTTGAAGAATATTTACATTTTTCTACTATAAATAGTTTAAAATGTACAACAAATTATTGCTAACTACAGCTAATGTTGTGCTATAACTTTTTTTATTGAGAATTTCATGCATGTATATAATGTAGTTTGATCAAATTCACCTCCCATTCCCTTACCTCCAGCTCCTCTCCTATCTCCCCCACCACTTTCCCTCCCAACTCATGTGCTTTCTTTTCTTTCTTAAACCCATTGAGTCCACATAGTGCTTCTTGTATTTGCATAGGTGCAGAACATCTACTGCAGCAAGGGTAGATTTTAAGGGGCCACATCCTTGAAGAAAAATTACTCTTCCTCCCACAGCAGCAATCAATTTCCAATAGCTTCTCAGCTAGGGGTGAGACTCCATGAGCCCCTTCCCCATCCATGTGGGATTTTGGCTGGCTTGATCTTGTGTAGGTCTTGCACATGCCATCAGTCACTGCGAGTTCATGTATGCAATGACACTGCCATGTCCAGGAAATAATGTTTTGATGAAGATGTCTACTATCACTGGCTCTTACAATTTTTCCTTCCCCTCTTCCATAACGGTTTCTGAATCTTGGAGGGAAAGAATGTGATACATAATTCCCATTTAGGGATGAACAGTCTCTCTATTTTCTGCACTTTGACTAACTGCTAGGTTCTGAACTAATCACCACACACTACAAAAAGAAGCTTGTTTGATGAAGGATAAGAGATAAACTAATCTATGGGTATAAAGATAAGAACTTAGGGAGCAGTTCAATACTTTATCCATTTAGAGAATACTAGTATTTGATTCTCCCTATAGCCTAGGACCTAGGCAGTCATGGGCTTTTGACTCAGTTAATAGCACAGGGCATGAGTTCTGTCTTGTAGAGCGGGCCTTATATCAAGTCAGAAAGCATTTGGTTACTCCCATACCATTCATGCCACTACTGCACCAGTATCTTATCTTGTCATCAGACCAGTCCTTATTGTAGCTTGCAGGGTTCACAGGTGAGTAAGATTTTTTAATTTTTAATAACTACATGATTAAAAGAAGCATTTCATTACAGCTTTAACATATTCAGTAACACATTCCAGAGCAACAGTACATCTCTTTCACAAGTGGCTGCAACTTTCTAGGTTCACAGTTGAATTAATTCAGTTATACAATATTGAACTCAGTATAAGCCCTGTAAGACATAAAATTGAATGAGTTTTTAACCTTTAAAAAAGATTTCCATTTCATTTTAGAATATATTGTTCCTTGCAGAAAGACTCGCTGTTTTTGCTACTAACGCTGAGATGTTGGTGCACACATCTCTAAGCTGTATATATCTATTACTAGTCATAATCGGTTGCACTTCGACCCTTGGTGCCTGTGTACGTCTATAAAGTTATTGGGTAGATTTCAATGGTAATGTTTATCACCTCTACTGATAAACATAACGTAAATTTCCATGCTTCCTCCTCAAATATAATACATTTTTAAAAAATCTGTTGATTTATTTTGTGTCTATCACACAGAACATCCCAAACCATCTTATTCAACTATATACCCACTTCCCAGATGGCACCCTCCCATAGCCTCCCTCCCCCCACTAGGGCCCTTATACTCTGATATCCCTGCAGCTGTATTTGTATATTTCTATAACTATTCATCTAAAGCTACCA